GAAAAATATGCTCAGCATTACTTAAGCTGAAAGAACTGAGCAAAAAATTAAATCCTCAACTTGTAATATTGAAAGATTCTATAGGCAAAATATTAAAGGATGCAAAAGCATCAAAAGAAGAAGGAGGTATACACAGAGCCATTGGCACAAAAAGTAGTGGTTCAACCCTTTCAAGAGGTAGCATATGATCAAGAACTGATGGTACTGAAGGAAGAAGTCCAAGCTTTACTGAATGCAATGGTGAAAAACATCCAGGAATTGATGGAATACAAATTGAAATCTTTCAACAAACCGATGGAGCACTGGAAACACTCACCTATGCCAAGAAATTTGGAAGACAGCAATGTGGCCAACTGACTGGAAGAGATCCATATTTGTGTCTACTCCAAAAAGAGGTAACCCAACAGAATGCAGAAATCTCAAACAATATCATTAATATTACATGTAAGTAAAATGTTGCTGAAGATAATTAAAAAATGACTGCAACAGTACATCAACAGGAAAGTGCTAGAAATTCAAGCCAGATTCAGAAGAGGAGGTGGAATGAGGAATATTTATTGCTGACTTCAGATGGTGAAAGCACAGAATACCAGAAAGATGTTTACTTTTGCTTTATTGACTATGCAAAGATTTTCAACTGTGTGGATCATGATAAGCTATGGATAACATTGCAAAAAATGGGTATTACAGAACACTTAATTGTGCTCATGAGGAAACTGGACATAGGCCAAAAGGCGTTTGTTAGAAGAGAACAAGGGGACTGTTTGGCTGTTTGAGTTTCAAGGAAGGTGTTTGCTTTGGAGACATCAAGGCAAGAAAAGTCAGTCCATTAGGGAAAACCCCCTTCTAGGATTGAAAGTTAAAGGGAACCTGAGAGCAGTCTAGTATGCTCCCTGATGACCACTGGGATCTACTTGTAATTGGAAGTGGGGGAAATGTAGCAATGAAGACATGGTCTGAGTTTGGACATATTCCACCGACACCTGTTTTGTTTGAAATGACAGCTAGAAGAGGAAGGGCTGGCTGGTCTGAAGTTTAGGGAGACATGTGAACTACTGAGCCCAAGACCACTGACCTAGCCTCTGGTGGCTAGGGCTGAGAGTGAAGCAACCAGCTAGTCTGAAGTACAGGGAGGTGTTCGTGAATGGCTAGGGTTGAGCTGAGCAGAACCTGACCAGATGAACATAAAGATGTTTGATATTGTGAGCAAGTGTCAATTGCTACAATTTGATGAATTGGACTTTTGCTTGTGGATGCAGTTGCTCAAAATTCCAACCAGAATGGAAGGATTCTTCATATCAAGGAACAAGCTTGTTTCCTCAGTGTAACTGGGTTGATTTTGTTGTTAAGTTCTGTCGAGTAGGTTCTGACTCAAAGTGACCCTGTATAAGGTCTCTGAGGAGCAGCTGGTGATAGGGATGGGCAATTTAGACATTGGCTATCAAAAATGGAGGGAAAAACAACAAAAAATGGCTAAAAAGAGAACTAGTGTCACAACTTGGTTTGCCTATTACATAAGGGGTAATGGAAGGATGTC